GGCGCGGCGTGCGCGGCGGCGGGGGTGGCGCTGGGCCTGTTCCTGGCCTCCCGCATCCGGTGACCATGGCAGGTCGGCGGTCATGGCGCAAGGCGTGCCACGTCGATGACCGACAATCCTCATCTGTCAATTCTGAATTGTAGCTGGCGGAGCCCTGCACTTGCCAATTGATGGCACTGTGTAACCGCCAATTGATGGCACCGTGTAACCACCCACGCGCTCCTGAGGCGAACCCCTTGCGCTGCCTTCTCCATCAGTCACGTCGTGCGCTGGCAGGACGGCGGCCGAGCACCAGGCCCCAGCGCTGGCTGGGTGAGGGGCCCCATGTTCAGCTGCAAGCCTCAGCTTTGCGCCGCGCCGCAGCCACAATGCAATGTGCCGCAGAGCGCGTTGGCGTTCCGGCCACGGCCTCTTCGACCTGCGCCTCCGCGCCCTCCCCCAGGGCAGCTACGGTGCAGCTGCACTGCTGCTGCTTGTGATTTTCGGCCGGCAAGCGCCTCCCTCCGCACCCCGCGGACGGCGCTTCGTCTATCGGTCTTCTTTGCTGAATGGGAGTGTTACACGCCACGTCACCCATGATCGCCCGCTTCTGGAGCCATTCAGACTCATGCTGGGGGTGGGGTTTGGATCTTACAGGAACAGAAGGCTGCACAAGCCCATTGCCTGAAGGTACTATGAGCTGCCAACCATCAAGAGATCTGGACCTTGCAAGGGAGGCGCGCAGCGCGCCAGCGTGCGTCCGTTTCGTTAATGGACAGACCTGAATACCGGAAGCGCACGCGGCGGACGGCGGGGCCGTTGGAACGGCTTTTGTGCTGTGTGAAGCGCTGATGTCCGCCATTCGGCCAATACGACGAGCCGCTTCCGCGATGCCAACACAGTCTCTTGCCTAGCACGTGTTCTCCTGTTGCCCCTTCCCGTCCTTGAGAATGTGGGCGCTTGCACCCGCAGCCCTACCGAGCCTCCCTGGCGACCGCGGCCGTGAACATGCGCCGCGGCGCAGCTCGAGCCCCACGGCATGCGCTGACCAGACCCTTGTTATGCTTTTCAACAGCAGGCATGGCTATGGGCCAAATTATTACAAAACATGATAGCACCGGTGAGCTGCATCTTGTCCAGGACGGCAGCTTGAGGAGCACCGACTGCAGTGTTGCAAAGGCCTAACATTATCACACCAAGACAAGTTTCCATACAAAACAGCACGCAATGGCCCTTGATGCCCGAATTAAACACAAGTCAAATCAGTAGAGGCCGCCCGCCCTTGCACAGGGCGCGCGGCTCACACGTTAAAATGTGAAGGGGACAGGTGATGAAGCCTTGGCCATGGTGCTTTGAGCCCGACCTGCCCTGAAAAACCACGCGTGACACATCCGTCAAGACACATGAGTTCATGAAGGGGCCAAAGCTACGCCCAGCCCCACTCGCCGCCAGCCTGCAACCAGCCAGGAGGGGGCGCGCGCCACGCGCTGCCCATGCGCGAGCGGGCGAATGAAGCACCCGTTGTAGGTGGCCTTGACGGGTGGCCTTAAAACAAACATGGCCGTCCAGTACGAGGCTGTACACGGTGCGCAGCAGTACAAGCTACATAGCCGCACGGTCCCGTCAGCTGCCGCCGCCGCTGCCGTCCGCCGCGCGCAGGTGCTCTTCCGCGCCCTTGATCGCCGCCTGCAGCGCCTCGAAAGGGGCGCGCGCGAAGAGCGTTGCGGGGTACACAGAAGTGCCCCACTTGGGGTGCAGCACCACCTAAGGGTTTCAGGTTTCAGGTAGAAGTGGCAAGGCAGGGGTGCGGCAGCCATGAGAATGCAGGTCGTGCCGCTTGAGCACAGGGCAGCCATCCGGCAGCCGCGTGCAGTCAGGGCCAGGGCGCGCGGCGGGCAGGTCTGCCGCATGGCCCGGCAAGCACGAGCCGGCGAGGAAGATGCTAGGCTTGCGCGCTGCGCCGGCTGGACTGCGCCTCCATGCGTTTAACAGCCGGAGTCGGGCAGTGGGGTCTGCTGGCCCAGGAGGCCCCGATCTGTGCCAACGAATGTTCCTGGGCGCCCCACCTTGCAGCAGCCGGCGTTGGCCGTCTTGTAGCCCAGCAGCAGGGAGAGACCCTCGACCTCTGAATAGGGGGTCTGGCTCTCCTGGTGGATCATCTGGCAATCGAAAGTAGTGTGTTTCACTGGTTGGTTGAGTAATCGGGGCAAAGCAAGTCGGCTCTGCCCGATGGTAAGCACATCAGCCGGGTTTGCAGAGGCTGGCCGCCTCCGCACAGCCCCCGCAGGCAGTTGCAGGCGTGGTGCCCCCTTGGAGTGGTCAACTCGAGTTGCTGATTGAATTGTTTGGCAGAATCTTGCGCGCGAGCGCCCGCCACCGCACACCCACCGGCAGGCCACTGCAGGGGTCGATGTAATCACACCAGTGACCGGCGGCCAACAGCCGGGCGCACACCGCCACCGCCCACTTCATGAACTGTGTTGATGCACGTACGAGCGCGCACCGTGTGTTGGTGCAGGGGAGCGGGAGCGCTGGAGCATGCAATCGGCGCCATCTGTTGTAGGTGGGACGCGGTAACCTACCTGGTGTCTCAAGCGATCCATCGGGGGTTATAGATCGAGATCGGTGCCCGATCGCTGTCAAGAGTCGCAAGCGGAGTGCCCTTCCAGCTGCAGCATGTCTCATAGCAGGCCCCAGCCCCACGGCCGCAAGGCAAGCAACCGCAGGCGACCGCGCCCGGCAGGAGTGGTGCCACATAAGGCCAGGACGTGCGTGCTGTGCATCAAGCGGGATGGGTCTTGGCACCGCTCTTTTGCCGTTGACAGCCGTCGCATGGACCTCGAAACGGCACTCACGCGCTCGAGCAGCCGGTCCTTCTCGTCATCTACTGCCTCCCCCGTTTTGACCAGGTCAAGGGTGGCGTGCTGGCAGGTGGGCACCACCAGCAGGTCTGTGGCTGAAGAGATGCCGGCGAAGATGCCCTGAAGCTGGTCCATCACCCGCTTAGGGGCGGCTGGCGGTTTCGGCAGCGGAGTTGGGAGGGGCGGGGTGTGTGGAGCATGTGGGGATCCAGCTCGGCTCGACACAATTTCAATTGTGTTATATCTTTCATGCACTTTTTGTTGTCCAGCCTTTTTGCAGCATGCTAGGTGCAGCGTGGCTGCCGTGCGTGGCCTGGCAGCAGCGCGTACTGTAGCAGCAGCAGCTAGTGGCGCGTCCTTGCTTCGCCCTGCAAAGCGCTCACGGCATATGGCGTACTCCATGTCCCAAAGCGTGGTGTGCACCTCTGGTGGTGCTGGCCTGGTCATGGCTGCTGCTCGCGTCAAGGGCAGATCGCGAGATCGTCGAAATTGTGTGCTGAATTCAAATGTGTAATCGACTGTTGTTACTGTTACTGAAATTGGCAAAGAATCATGTATGGTATCCAGCTTGGTCAATGGCACTCGCATGCTTTCACATGCGCTGCGTTCCATTCACACACCTTGCTGCCAAGCACTTGATCACTGGCCCGCGCACACTGCATACGTACCGCACTGCTGCCGCATGCGCGTCGTTCATGCCTTGTTACCAAGCGGCCCCTGCAGCAAGGACGTGTCGATGGCAGGGGTTCGCCCCGCTGTCCGCTGGCACATACTGACTGTCCAAGGTTGCGCAGGTCTAAGCACATTGACTCAGGCATGTCCCTCAGCGTCCGCCCCCCTCTCCTGTTGCTTGACCTCTAAATGCATCACAATGACGATTCCGCCGCCAGACCCCCCTTCCCAACCCTGTGTCTTCGCACTCACAACGCGGCATGGGCAGGTGGTTGCACGGCCTGATAAGCCACTACACGGGCATAGTGCCTGCCAGCATCCGACTCTGGACCTTCACTCAATCTAGCCAGGCCTGGCGTGCCAGTCTGCGGTATAGAACTCACTACCTATCGCCGACGACCGAGGCCCCTGGCCTGCCAGCAGCATTAATACCCACCCAACACCAGCTTGATACAGCCCGCTGGTTCCCCCCCCCCGACTTGACCAGCAGCACACATAGTGGCCAGTTCTTGTCATAATAAGCGCAAACTGATTATACGATGATCCCATGTTAGGGATTCTTAACGCTGTCCAGGGTGAGCCGCGTCACGTCCCGCTGCTCCCCTATCAGCGCCCCTTCTGGCAGCAGCTCCTTCAGGCGCTCCGCCGCGGGCGTGAGCGAGTCGGTGCGCTTGGACTCCAGAGTCAGCAGCAGCCGCGCGCCGTCTGGCTGGTTCGTGACCTGGTTTTTGTTAGGGTGCGGCGCGGTGGGGGTGCATGCGCCGGGTTGGAGGGTGCGTTCAGCCGGGCGCCGCGGGCGGGGGCGCGGCGGATGCATGGAGCGCGCCTTCTGGCATCAGGGTGTGCAGGCCTGCGCCAACCGGCCTGCCGCTCAACTCCCAGCCGTATGAGCTGCAACAAACACATCCAAGCGGTAACGTTTTGGACAACAATACAAGTCTGTAAACGACAAGGGCAAGGGGGACCGCCGACGGCATGGGAGGCTCACGGGGTATGAGCCGATGGCCACCTCGCCGCCCCACTCCCCTGCCAGCGTGTCGAGCAGGGGCGCCACCGCCGCCTCATCGTACAGGTCAAGGCGGAACACCCTGGGGTGGTTGTGTGTGTGTGTGTGTGTGTGTATGTGTGTGTGTGTGCGTGTGTGTGTATGTGTGGCTGGGGTCAGGCAAGGGCGTGCGGAGAAGTGTGCTCGTCACCGCACTGAAGCCTTGACACCCAAGATTACATTGAGCGACCCAAGATTACATTGAGGCAAAATGGGCGGCGTGCGCATGCTAGCGCAGGACTCCGAACCACGCTGAGCCATTCTATTGTGTGCCATGCCAGGCCACCGTGCGCCTGGTGGCTTCCGCTCTGCTAGAGGCTCTGGAGGGGAGTGAGGGAATGTACACACCTGTTGCCGAAGGGGTTCAGGGTGGCCATAGTCTCCAGTTCAGAGCGGATCGTGTGCCACTTCTTCTGGAGCAGGTGGGGAACCCCTGGGGCCCCGGGCGCGAGTGGGGGATCGGAATGGCTTGGGAAGCCTAGGGGTTGTGGTGGGAGGGCTGCCTCGAGGGGTGGCGAGCGCCGCACGAGCAGGGCCTGCGCATTGCACCGCCACCCCTTTACACCCTCATGCGCAGATGAGCGTGCAACCAGGCAAAACCTGGCACACTTCACCACGTATTTGCACAACAAACTCACGGTGTACAACCTCCGCGCCCCCGCTCACCTGGCAGCAGGTACACGTTCTTGCACTTGACCACGGGGAAGGGGCTGGGCTGGCCCAACTCGCTCCTGGGGGACAGCAGGCTCGTGAAGTCCTCCTGGA